GTATGTATTTGTAGTGGGAAGAGGAGGTGGGGCATTAAGTCTAGAATACTTGGCCCTGTATGTTGGATGTACTTCTGGTATTTGATGGAGATGCAGTGGACATGACCTTGAGCCAGCTCTTGTGAGCTGCTTGTTTGGCTGTAGTTGATGCTTTGTGCCTTCTCTTTTCATGAGCTTTGATATCATCAGGGACCTTTCAGTATCCTCTCCCTCTTTGCTCTTCTTCCTCTTGATTCTTTGTAATGTCACTGCATTTTCAGAAGAAGAGGTGAATCTTTTTCCAATTCCCTTGTTCAGTGTTCAGATATTTCCTTGTGTTTATCCTGTAAAAGGCTTGGTTCTGAAAATTCTTGACCACAGGAGTCTGTGTGCAGGGTTCATTGGAGATACCCTGGTAGTGTCTCCTAGAGTAAGAAGATGCAGTGCAGGCAGGGCAGTGTCTTTTACCTCCCTTTCCTTCAAGGTGAATTACAGGTCACCTTTTCACACAGTTCCTTACTTGTTCACAAGTAATTTGGGGGACTTGTGTATGAGCAAATCCTGAGACAGACTTTGAAAGTCACTCCATGGCAAGTCTCCATGTGTCCTGAGCTCAAATGTTCAGTCACCTGTTGTGACCAGGTAGCTGGGAGTTTGGACACACCAGCATTCCTTGGTGAAATTAGGAAAGTACAAAGACATGCAGAAATTATAGACACATATTTGAGGGTAGTGTTGGAAAATCTGGGCTTCAGTATCTTTTAGAATCATCCAGTAAAATGGAGTCTATGATTGTTGGAGACTTCTTAATGAAAGGCTAGGTTTTATGAATCTCCAGTCTAAAGTCTGCTCATATAACTGATACGCTCTTTTTTTCTACCTAAGAATTTCCCTCGCATACACAGCAGAAAAACAAACAAACACAGTTCTCTGTTACTTCCCTGAAAACCAAAGTCCTCTTTCGTAGCAAGATTAATTTGTCAACTAATCTTAGAACAAACACTTTATTTTAATCTATCATTGTTTTCTGACTGTGGGTTTAGCAGAGGTCAGAAAAAGAGATTCATTAAAGTGATTGCACATTTGTTTTTCAGAAAGCCCATCGGAAGATTAATGCTTTGCCAAAGAAAATTTAAAAATACAGTATTTCTTTTAATACAATTCAGCTAAATAAAGTCTTAAAATCACATGCCTTGGCCCAGTTGGGGTGTTTGCAGCATAAGGTACAAGTCGTATAATTTCTGCTATCTGAAAACTGCTTAAATGAGCTCTCCCTCAGCCGTGCCATTTATTCCGCACCTGAGGTGAAGTAACTCTGGTCCCGTCTCTGATGTAGAACCGTCGGTGAGCTGAGTCCCAGTGTGTTTGTGCAAGTCTGTTTGCTTACATAAAGAACCCATTTAAGCTTCTCCACCCAAGAAATTCATGTTGATTTTGGATAATCCCTGGGCGATTTTATTCTGTGAAATAAATAAATAAATCTTCCAAACCTCTGATGCTGCCTAGCTCTCACGTATTTTGGACTATTAGCAGTATAGCATTTGTGTTGGGGGAAAGTGAACTGACACGTGGCATGGGCAATTTTGTATTTGTCCAGAAGTAAAATAGGATGCGTATTTGAGTGTAGGATTATGTGACGTTGGAGTTCCACCTGACAAGAGTGCAGGGTCAGTTTGTTTGCATGTGGGTTGTTAGATCCCACGCTGCACACTCATCCTCCAGTGTGGCTTCTCTAGGAGTAGTGCCAATGCGATTTGGTTTGGCAACAAACCACTATTTCCAAAGAAAAGGAAAAGTTTTATTAAACAGCTGAAACAATCCTCTGGGGTCAGCATTGGCTGTCAGGACTCGCTTTCAGTCTGAGATTGTATGTGTGTGTAACATGGGCCAGTAGATGTGGGAATAGACTGCGATCATCACCCATCTGATTAAAACTCACTTCTGCAGCCTCTGCTCTCCCCTGCTCCCTTAAGGACACACTAGTGCACAGGCTTGAGTCAAGGATGCTCAAGTCCAGGCAAATGCAAGGAGGAAAAAGGCCTTATTTTCTCTCTGCTTTCATCCCCACCTCTACAATGCGTATCGTTCCTCGGGGTTCTCGCTTTGGCAACAAAACTGGTTCTGAAGAGGCACATCTCTGCCAAAATCAGTAATGGCTCTGAAGGTTGCCCTGGATCTCTGTGCTACTGTTTATTAGGTAACTAAGTATTAAATCATATATCTAATGTCTTAAGAAATGAAATAACTAAGTAACTGTATTTGTCTAACTTAGTTATCTACCTTGGAAAATGTTGAGACTGGCCTAGGCTGTATTTGCTGTCTTGTTTAATAATTGCATTGCAGCAATGTTCAGCATCTCATCCAGCAGATACTGAATTCATCTAGTGAAAAGCAGATGTTAACCTGGGCAAACGTCATTTTCTGTCATCTCGATTGATAATGGAATCATAAGATTGACTTCAAAATCATGAGATAGTATGGACAATGCAAATGAAATCTTATGTTTTGTTTTCAGCTTTGTTTCTGAGGTCTTGTGAACCATGAGAGGTGCTCTAGAACATTTTTGCATCTCCTTTTTTCTTGCTCTAATATGAAAGTAAATCAATTTTTTTGTAAAATCTCTTCGCTTCAAGAATTAAAGCTATGAATGGAATATCAAGCATTAAAAGAAGTGCTGATGTATCACTGGAGGCGGCAGCGCCTGAGAAAAACGATATGGTAATGATAGCAAAGGTTTAGAAGGGAGAGACAGCCTGTTCAACCCAACACATGGTAATATGCATATATATACAATACATAGAATATACATATATTCAGCATAACATACCCTTTCACTTGCTGTATCCAGTGGGCCATTGTATTTCTAGTATTTTGTGGTTTGCACATATCTCCTTAATTAGACTCACGAGGTAGACAGGCTGCTCCTGCATGAGGTTAAGCTGCTGTGTAAATAAATAAAAAGTAGGAAAGATAGGTTTTGCTGAAAATAGAAGTTAAGTTTAAAAACAATATTTTGGCCCTAAGCTTTTATTTAGGCTTTCAGAAAACAGAAAAAACTCTTTCTTTTCCATTACTTGTAGAAAGCCAAATAGGCAAAATAGTACTTCTTATCTAGTTTTGCATTCCGTGAGTGTGTTTTAGTAAACCCTTTTTCTTTTAGAGCAAACTGCTATAAATTATGCTGGGATATGATCATTAGTAGTTTCAGTAGAAATATTAGTTTAATTAAGAACTTCTTTGTTATGACCTCTACCGTAACAGTTTAAGCTCAGGAAAAAGGGCATCAGAATATTCTTTAGCAGTAATTTTGCTTCAGAAGGTTATGTTTAGTACAGATGATCATAAAGGCAATATAGTGCCAGCTCACTTAGACTGCCCATTAATACCATCACTGTCAAACCCCCAATAACTTCACTACAGTAGCATTAGGAATTTTCAATGTTTGAGGTTACTGACCAAATGCCATCTAATTTACCACATGTATATTAATAAATCAGTCAGCCTTTATAATTTGATGGACTGTGTTCACAGACAGAGACAGTAAGGATTCTGTTATCACTTTCTCCAAGCCCATGCAAAGCCAACTATATCTGAAATATAGTTGCTAACTTTTTCTTACTGTGCTTTTTGAATGCCCTTCAGTCTCTTTAATGTATGTATCTTTATGGTGTCTCTGCCTGAGGGATACTTTCTTCCACATCTATTTTTCATATAGGGAACTGATGCAGAGGATATTAAAATAATCCAAGTGAGAAGTTAAACACCCAGTACTTGGTGGGCTGGTTAGGGCTGTGTGTGTGCTACCTCTGTTACTCCTGCATTGATAGAGGTGGGTAAGACTATGGCTCAGTAATGAGCTGGTCCCCGTAACGTGTCTGGACCTTGCTGCCAGGAGATCTAGCTTATGTCAGACTAAAGCTGCATTGCAGGTCAATGTGTAAGGAGTGTAAAAGATCAGGGGTTTAAACTGGAGTATGAAACAGAGCCCTGAAGTAATAGCATGGATTTAAGGGATTCGGTGATATTAGTACCAGTACATGTCTTTCAGATAAGCTATAGGCATAGCTTCCTTTATGCATTTTGCCTCTTTTTTTCAGTATTACTTCTTACAGTGTTTTCCATGGAGTAGTCCGGCTTAAATTGGAGTGGTGTATCCTTAGTTTTGCTTTTAGTTTAGTGGATGGAAGACCTGTGAACCCACTTAGACTGGGAAACTTGAAAGCCATGTCACCCACTTCATCAGCAAGAGTTAAAGATGCCCAAATTGCTGTAAATCATTACAGGCACGAGCTGATCCTTATCTGGTTGACTGGCCAGGAAGTGAGTAGCAAAGTCCTCATCGTAAGTGATTGCCCAAGCTCCTCTAGGAGGTTCCTGCCAAAACAGGAATGAAATTGCGCAATCAGCTAAAACCAAATTAGATCTTTCTTTTTGTAGCTGAATTGGCAATGATGAGAGCCTGCCTAAATAGGGGTAGTTCATATAAGTGCTAGTGCTCCATGTTGACCTATATTCATTTCATATTTTCGTCATTCCGTGGGGCTTTGTGCATCTTTATTATAAGACAGGAGACTCTGAATAACTTAAGGTTCTTAGTAGATGATATATGATAGTTTGTCTTGTGTGAAGAGACTCTTGTTCCTGAGTGGTGTTGCTGTTGTAGATCCTGATGTCTCAATGTGAAGCTGGGTTGATTTAAGCTGATCTGATGCCTTGAGTTTGGTCTTAATCTGAATGAAGGGGAACACAGAGCTACATCATGTGCCATGAAGCTCCATGGGTTTCCGTGTCCTTCCCTGATTCCCCAGCTACAGCTGACACTTCACATCCTGTACATGTAATTCATCGGTCTATATTTACCTGGGGTGGTGACTTAAAATTTAATTTCATTTAATTCAATGGGGGTGTTTTAAAATTAATAATTTTACATATTTCAGCATTTTCCAAAGAAGTGAAAAAAGTGAGATACGTGAAATTTGTATCATTAAAACAAAGGACTTCTTTTTTCTTCTATGTTTCAGACACAGATATTAAGGAGCTAGAGGATGTTTTTGGACTTAACGGACAAGTAGAGCATAAGCTGAACTTCCTCAGAAAGAATGTATCAAAAGATATAAAGCTGGTACTGATTGCTCATTCTATTGGTTGCTACATCACACTGGAGATGATGAAGCGAGCATCAGAACTTCAGGTACATTAACCTTATAGAATGGGAGTTACATTCCTAGCAAAGCAGTGCACGTGCTTAGCCTATGGGTAATGTCATGTCTCTCCTATGGAAGTTATATTCTTTTATACACAAACTTTCAATCCTAGTTCTCATTAAAATGAAATAAAAACATTAATGACTAATCCTAATAATAAAGTTGTCTGATGTAAAATAAAGTTCTTACTCTGAATCTGGGCCTTTGAATGGCCTTGTAATATACAAGATTAATGATGGCGATGAATATACTTATGACTTTATTGTTTTCTTCTCATCCTTAAATAATTTATAAACAGATCACTAGATATTTGCCATTACGTTACTATGCCAGAAATCAAAACTGATTATGATTTTACTAGCAGCTTCTTATCTTAAGGCAAGCAGATTTATGGCTATACACAAGTAAATGTATAGAAAAGAACAGTAATAGAAACTGTGAATACTACTACTATGAAGGACATTGTTTTTAAAATTTAATACATATGCATACATAACTGCTTCTGCAACTCGGTTTGTGTAACTGGATGAGAGTGGGAGGTGTTACTGCTTGTTCTTGTGTATCTGAACATTTTTCTTTGTCACTGTGAAGCACTATGAGGCAGGACCATGTCCTTGCAACTCTGGAAATGGCAAACAGTGCTTAGTAGTAATCCACTCTACCAGTGAACGAAGAATACTGAATTTTTGTTCTTAAACATTCACTCTGGCTGAATCATTGCCTCTTCCTTTGCATTATAAAATCTTCAGTGGAAGAAGTGCAGCGTTAGTGTGAAGTCTGTGTTTAATATATGTATGAATAGGTTCTTCCACTTCTTCATAACCATTTCCACTGCATTTTTTTTCCTTTAAAGGAAACAGTAACTGAAAACATGAAACATGAGGTTAACCTGATATATTTCTACAGGCATATTTCACTTTGTGATTAGAAACAAGGGCATTTTTTGAGAGAACCTTTATTAATGTTTTATCTTTTCAAGAGGGAGTGTTGTAGACAATACCACGTGCAGTAATTTGTCCAAAAATACCAACTTTTCTTTGGTCAACATCTGTACAGTCTTTATTACAGACATTGGTTTGTTTGGTTTCAATTCAACTGTGAGTTGTTGAGTAATTTTTTTACACCTGGCTCACGGGATACTGGCAGCATGCTATTTGTCAGTGTTTTGAAATGTAGGTATCTTTGGGACGCTCTTAGACTGCGTGGTGCACTGTGTGCATGAAGTTAAGTTATGACAAGCTACATTTAAGATGCATTTAACAATAGAAAATATTTGTGTAAGCCAGAGTGTTGTGCAACTTTTGTCACTTTGCCAAAAATAAGTTAACTGTTAGCTTTTATAACATATGAAGTGTGATAATAAGAAACTTGTGTTTCCATCTCTCCCTTTATTTTTACTGGAATATTTGATTCCCACAAGATTTTGAGCACATATGTGTATTTTAGTAGCTAGATCACTTGATTTTGTTTTCATGTAGCTCTTATGTGATATTCTTTTATTACATGAGGTTTGGTTTTAGTCTTAAATCCTCTGCTTTAAGAGCCTTTGATTACTTACAGTTTATTATTCTGAGCTAGAGGTTAATGTGTTGTATTTATTGTTCAAATAATTTGGTAAATGTTTATATTTGGAGCGTATGTTTAGCAGATTTGATTTTTGTTACCCAGTTTAAAGCCCTTTCGCAGTCTCACCAGATACAGACTACATTGTCCTCTCTTGCACAATGATGAGGGAACCTGATGATGTTAAGTTAGCATTCATGAAAAGGAGAAAGTGCTATTTTCTCATCTCTCTTTCTTGGTTGCTCTTCAGCTGTCGATTTTGAATGCTGCTAATTTCTTGAGTCCTTGTGCTGTGCAGGTTGATGGGTTACTGTGGATTTTTTCTTAAACTTCTATGAAGTTTAAGAAACTTCTTATTTCATTTAAAGAGAAATGAAACAGGAATTGCCAGTTTACCCCAGGATAAATTCAGTTTTCAACTCCATCCCTGTTTCCCTATTGACTCTCAGAGTGGCTTCTGTTATTAGTTTCTTCAGGAGACCCCTTAACACCAACTTAATCTTAGGTTGATGCCTTTAATGAAGTCTAATTAGTAGAGAAGGGCCACACCACACAGATTACATCCATACTTGTAACTAAGTGGAGCTACTGGATGGGTTTGAGTACTGGGCCAGCTACACAGTGATGTTTTTGGACCAGTCTCTAAGAGGTGTTTTGGCCCAAAGCAGCCAGCATCTCCCGGGCAATACCCTGGCATGGTTCTAGGCTTGGCAGAGGTCCAGGACCATTCCCAATAGTTAGTTTGGATGCAGACATCTTGTTTTTTTTCAGGGGGAAATTCAAGCATGTGGACATGGACCATCCTATGCCATCCTGTTCCATGGCAGAACCAGAGGATGGTTCCTGGCCATCCTGTTTGCTGGCACACATGCAACTGTGAGCACTTCTGAGTTGTCATGGTGGGCATCAAATCTTATTTCGCCTCTTTGTGGGTAGTGGAGCATCCACACTTTGTCTGACTGATAAAAGATTTTGACACTGGGAAGGAAAAACATTAATTAGCCTTACTGTGTGCAGATGGAAAATGCAATAATGCACAGCTTACTTGGTACTTGGTCTTAACCTCATAATCATCCTCACTCTTCATTCAGCCAGCAGAACTGAAAAATGAAGTTGAGTGATAAAATTATTTTCTCGGTTGTTGGAGCTTGTGCCTAACTCATAAATATGGTACATCCTCCAGGCATTTTCTTCTAAAATAGAAATCCTTGCTTGGGGGATTTCCTTTTGCTTTGCTGGCGACACTACAGAGTCTTTCCTAAAATAGTCTGTTTGATCATTTAATGTAATCAAAAGATTGACATATTTCCTTGCTAATGAAATTGACTGTCGCAGTACTAGTCTTTCATTTGCAATTATAGTTTTGAAATGCCAGCACCTTCGTGACAATAAATTAGGTATTAGGAAGAAATTCTTTACTGTGAGAGTGGTGAGACACTGGCACAGGTTGCCCAGGGAAGCTGTGGATGTCCCCTCCCTGGCAGCGTTCAAGGCCAGGTTGGACGGGGCTTTGGGCAGCCTGGTCTGGTGGGAGGTGTCCCTGCCCATGGCAGGGGTTGGACTGGATGAGCTTTAAGGTCCTTTCCAACCCAAACCATTCTGTGATTCTAAATTAACACTTAACAATGAGTGAAACCATGATAGAATGTAAGCATTGCTCTTCCTGTACAACTCATTGAGGAGGAAGGGTTTAAAACCTCTGAGTATCTCTCAGTTTAGGGAAATAAAATATCTGAAATATATAATTCAAAACAATGCATTGCTACTGTGTCTCAGTGGTGCCAAAGAATATCGGGTGTTGCTAGAACTTGTTTGATGTTGTTGCTAACAAAACATAGGTTTGACAGTTGTGTATAAAACAAGTTCATACCTTGGAAACCCTGTCACATTGCTTCTGTGCAGACATTCATGTGCATCAGCCTTATCTTTCCTTAACTGTGTATTCTCCCAAACAGAGATCTCTTGGTCTGTACTTTCTTTCAAGAACTCTGATGAGCTTAACAAAATTACAGAGTTCACATTTAATGATTTCATGAATTTATACAGTACCATAACCATAGTTTCATGTCTTCTCTTTTGTCTGCATATGAATTGCATTCAGGTCTTTCACTTGAGGAGCTACACCTTGTTCAGGATCTGGTAATGGACATAGCTTAGGTTTCTGCAATGTCTTATTCTTCATAAATCAGTGCTGACCTTCACCCATCAGGAGGCTGTCCACTAACCAGGCTTTCTTGAGTTAAGCAAACATTTCTGACTATTGTAAATTGGTTTATGATGTACAAAATGTTGGTGCTATTCATTCCCTTTTATAAATGAATTAAATGTGTCGAACAGGAGGTACCAGGCATTTTTTGTTAACCTTTTGAACTACTGAAATTGGCTATATATCTCTGCTGTTGCTTTTCTGCCTGTTTAGCCAGTTTCTAAACCATATAAAAATGTTTCTCTCACCCATTAGTGGTCACAGTAATTGAATTACTTCAATGGGAAGCATTTAGTTGAAGCTTTTTCAATACAGATATTTTAGATTAAGCTTATATATGTGCATAGTAGCTTTGTTTCTTTCTACTTTTTTAAATTTTACAAAATATTTAGTTAAAAAAGAGCTTTCATCTCTAAAACATTATTGCTGTTAGTTCTGATGTTAGAAAAAGCCAGAAATATATTTTATAATTCCTTTAAAATTTAGTTGATTAGTCTTCTGTCACTCCAAAGTTCTGCTGTTTCACTTTTAGTAGTGGGGTCATTTATTACCCTTGGTGCTCCCCTAAATCACACCTTTAGGGTGCCATATGTAGTCCTCATTTTGTGGTTACGTACTTGAACCAAAAGGCCATGTTCCATCTGTCGTGAACAGCTTGCTTGGGAGCATTGATGGCCTACAGGTACACAGCAGAAGCGCAGATGTCATGGCTCTCTTAGCTTTTTTTTTTTCCTATTGTTTAGAAATCTGCTTCTTCCCAATTACCTGCAGCACTTTGCAACACATCTTAGTGGCAGAAGACATCTCTCCACATGGCCCTTCTGACAGAGATGTTAATTGGGATATGACATTTCAGAAATGCTCTGTTCTTTGCCATCTCTTGGCCAGGGAGATTTTTTTTTTCCATATGTATAAGAATTACCTGTATATATAGAATTAGGTTGTTTTAAAAGAAGCTTTACTAAAACAGTGAAAAATAGCAGTAGATAGTTTGTATTGCAATGTGTCTTTTGATGCAACATAAAATACAATAAATAATTATTATTTACAGAAGAAATGAAATCTCTCTTAACAATGCGTGAATGTCTATCCATAAATACCATTTTGCAGTAAGAATATGAAGTTTAAAGCAAGTGAAATATTGCTGAGTAAGTAATGTAATACATTCTGATTCCAAACTAAATGTCTTTTTCTGATACAGCTTGATCTGTTTTCAGA